GAAGAGAGACAGGAAGATTATCAAGAAACCAACAAGCTTGTCTCATTGCATGAAGAAAAATATTGCTGCAATGAATCTTATGCTTCTTTTGTCAGCTACATAGACTACATTACCAAAGGAGAAAAAATTGTCACATAGAGTTTGAGGATTCGAATAACGAGTGTGGAAATGATGATGATGAAGTGTCAAAGTATGTCACCCTGATGCTGACAAAGAATGAAGATGTGCAGCTGCTGGAGTGGTGGAGACAACAGAAGCACAATTTGCCTCTTTTTTCAGTCGAGTTGCACGGTTTGTGCATTCCACCGTCCCTGCATCCAGGGTACCCTCCGAGAGAGCCATCTCAGTCTCTGGTTGCACAGTTAATGAGAATCAAACTTCACTTTAGCCAGGAACTGTGGATGATTTAATGGTTTTACACAGTAATATTTCAAAGAAAATCAACTGTTCCAAGAGACATCTAAGACGAAGTCCCGCAATTCAGGGCTGGTATAAGTCACAAGCTAAACAGGCGCCCAACTTTTTATTTTATAGTTCAGTTTGTGATTTTGAGTATTATTGACTTGAGATGTTTATTTTATTTTTGTATGTAAAATGCTGTTTGTTCTGATGCCTGTTTAAAATAATATAGCAAGTGTGTGCATTTATGAAGCCATATAGTTTCCTTATACAGTATTGATGCATGCATATTGATGCTCCTCCTGAGAGGTACAGTGAGATAGGGCGCTGGTGCATGAGCAGATGCGGATACATATGAAAGTGGGGTGCGGATCGCGGGTCAGATACAAGTTATTTATTGTGGATGCGGATCCAAATTTTTATATTCCCACAGCTCTCTATCTGTAAGAAGACCTCAGTTTCAAGTCTCCTTTTTTAAAAGGTCTTCCCCTCCGCACGGATATTCAGGATAGGTAAACTTTAGCCAGGATGTCTTTTCCTGGGTTGTACAATTTTTCTAGGTGCTTTTAGCTAGTATCGTCTGGTTAGGGAGGCAGCCTCTGCCTGACTGCACCACAAATCATGAGCATGGTTTTCTATGTACACTAATACATACATTCATAACCACACTCTTCATACATATCTCCTAATGACCATTAAGTTTAATACATTACAAGCTTTCATAAAAAATCTTACTCGCCTTTTATAATATAATAAAGTTGTGTATAATCTGTTGATTCAACTGCCTATTCTTTGGGGTCAAACTCCCTATTCTCCCCGTGGTGTGTCTGGGCCCTGATTGTCACAGGCGCAGAGAACCCAGCTGCTGGTGGTGTCCCAAAGCTGCCTGGGCCCATATGCTGCTGGCCTGTTTACTGCAATAGAGCTAATCAAACTCATCCCAGAGTAGCATAGGAAAGTCTCCTGTCACCGGGGAAGAAACAAGGCATCACATAACTAGAAATCTTTGAAAGGATTGCAGAGTATCTCCACGAAAGCTTCATTTAGATCTCTTGAGGATAAAAGGGATGCCCTTATTCAGATAAACAAAGTACGCTTCCTCCCCCTCCCCCCCGTCTAGCCTAGTAAACCAAAGAATTGAAAAGTGGACACTGAGTCTACTTTCTGACACTAATCTGATGTGGACTGTGTAATCAGATTGCCTTTCTAATTTCTTTGAATTTATTCCCTAATGTTTTATTTTCTGACATTATACTACTAAAGTAAGCAATCAAAAGTCAATGCCTTTGTTCTGTAAATCCGCGGATGAGATGGGCACCATTTTAAAATGGGGAATGATGGTGGAAGCGGGTTTAGGTAGGAAGATGAGGTTTTGGGTAACAAAAGGCAAAAAAATTATTATAAATTGCATGTATGTGCTTAACGAGCTCCCTTCCCCTTCATCAGCAAGCTTATCTGCATTCACTTGGTGGGACTGGTTTGAAACCGCTGCTGTGTTTCCCACCTCCAATTATCAGTAACCAGTTTGCTTAAAAATTATTGAAAACTGAGCTCCGTATGTAATGCTCCTCTAGGTATTACACAGTTTTGTAGTATTTGGAATATAAATGTCTGATTCTGAACCTTCGTTTGATACCAGAATGATGTCAAAGAGCTGTTTTGCTCCATGATTGTGCGTTTAGTTCTAACCAAATTTCTGTGACTTCAACAAGAATACAGTACTTTAGGGACTTGACTCTCTCCTGGTGCTGTTCTGTATAAACAAATATGGAACTGTAAAACTGCACAGTGTGAGGTTAGATAGGATAAACAAGGTTTTTTCTTACTGGAAATAGACACAGGGATAGTGTCTGGTTATACATCCAGCCAGAGTCTGCAAGAAATAATTTTAGTTTCTCAGAAGTTGAAGAAGCAGTACAAGTTTGGGGATGGGAGGAGTAATGCAGCAGAGAATGCGTCTATAGTGTTTATTTTTTAGAACTCTGTAAACAGCAGTTGCATTACATCCTGCTAAACCTTGATCTTTTTTCAGCATTTTAAACAGTGTAACAAAGAAAAAGTTGCAAGATAAGGTACACCGGTTTTCACTTGCTAATTCGTCATGACTAGAAAGTATTTTTATTTTTTTTATATTAAAACTTTGTCAATTTTATTTTAATTTTTAAATATTTAAAGTGAAAGCTTGAAATGTTAATGCAATTTTAGATATGTTGTATTTGGTAGCAGCCACACTTTAAAAAAGAATGTTCCAGTAACACAGTTGTTGTAGACTTCACACTATATAGCAGGGGTGGGCAGACTACGCCCGAGGCCCGCATCTGGCCCGCCAGCCATTTTAATCCAGCCCTTGAGCCACCGCTGGGGAGCGGGATCTGGGGCTTGCTCCTCTCTGGCACTTCAGCCAGGGAGCAGGGTTGGGGGCCGCTCCACGCAGCTCCTGGAAGCAGCGACATGTCCCCCCTCCGGCTCCTACACATAGGGGCAGCCAGGGGGCTCCACTCTGCACGCTACCCCCACCCCAAGCACCGCCCCCTGCAGCTCCCGTTGGCCGGGAACCATGGCTTGAGGTAAGCGTTGCCCGTAGCCTGCACCCTGAGCCACCCCCACCCCAGCCCCAACCCCCTGCCCCAGTCCTGATCCCCCTCCTGCCCACCAAACTCCTCAGTCCCAGACTGGAGCACCCTCCTACACCCCAAACCCCTCATCGCCTGCACCCCCAGCCGGAACCCTCCCTCTGCCCCACCCCAGCCTGGAGCCTGCACCCCCAGCCAGAGCCCTCACCCCCTCCCATACCCCAACCCCAATTTCATGAGCATTCATGGCCCACCATACAATTTCTATACCCAGATGTGGCCCCCGGGCCAAAAAGTTTGCCCACCCCTGCTATATAGTATATAATCTTACTACAGTAGAACCTCAAAGTTACGAACACTTTGGGAATGGAGGTTGTTCGTAACTCTGAAATGTTCGTAACTGAACAAAATGTTATGGTGGTTCTTTCAAAAGTTTACAACTGAACATTGACTTAATACAGCTTTGAAACTTTACTATGCAGAAGAAAAATGTTGCTTTCCCTTTATTTTTTTTAGTAGTTTAGGTTTAACACAGTGCTGTATTTGCTTTTTTTGTGTGTGTCTCTGCTGCTGCCTGATTGTGTACTTCTAGTTCCAAATGAGGTGTGTGGTTGATCGGTCAGTTCGTAACTGGTGTTCATAACTCTGAGGTTCTACTGCAGTATATTAAAAATATAACATTTGTGAATCTTATAAGACTTTAAGAAGGACATTTTATAGTATAAATTACTTGTAAATATCAGCTTATCTAGCAATGACAAGACATCAAACTGTGGAATCTAGAGTATAGATTAGGCCTTGATTTAGTTTAAATATTATTGGTCAGATTTTCAGAAGTGCTGAGCATCCACAAATCCCATTGAAGTTAATGTAAGCTGCTAGTGCTCAGTACCTTTGAAAATCAGACCATATCACTTTGTAGTAATGTAAACTTGTAGTTAAGGTTGCAGTTCAACTTTTATTGTATCCACTTATGTCCATTCATAACTGTCTCAGATTTTCTTTTTGCCTTGGAACTGAAACTTTCCACTCTAGGAATGAAATCCTGGCTCCATTTAAGAGAGTTTTGCTATTGATTTCAGTGGAGCCTAAACTGAACTCAAGCCAGGTCTCAGCTCAAAAGTGAATGTTTTTGGGACGTTTACACACAACATATTCAATACTTTCTCCATTTAAAAATAGGCTTTCTACATACACTTACCTCAAACAGCAGAACTTTAAAGCTTACCTTCATACATGGTTAGCCCTCAGTGAAGAAATCTATGAGGGCAAGGCTAGCTTTTATGGGGGAGGAGGAAAGGTTTAGGAACAACTTTCAAATGAGAAAATAGGAATTAAAAATCGGTGTATGCATGCAACACCCTTTTTTTTTTTAACTGCAAGTTTTTAGTTATGTTATTGCCTGAAGTACTGTGGAGTTATACAGTTTCATAGTGGTTAAATTCATAATTCTATAGTATCAAAATGATATTTTCCCTCTAAATTCAGAATAGTGTAGTTTAAATTCTCTGGCATCACAGAAAAACACAATTGCATAACTTCATAAGCAGAATTTTTGTTTATCTGTTGCAGCTGTTGTAGGTCTTGCAGTTTATAGAGTTTATATAATAGAATTCTAAACTTCATATTATAGTTAGCTATAATGTTTTTAAAATCTAATGTAATTAAATTCAAATATCTACATTAATGCAACTTAAAGTTGTAAACGTCAAATATTAAAGTCAGGAAATTCGAAAGTTCAGGATCTCAGAGCAATATTAATGTAGTCACATTTTGCATATAGGGAGGTGTTTTGAATTAAGGCTTTTAAGTTAATTTATTTAATAAGTATTATGTGCAGTTTGGGTCAGTTAAGATTTTTATAGCAATGTTAACTTTTGCATTTCCTAACTTACAAAGTTGCTGTAAGTATGATATTTGCTTTGATGTAGTTTTTAATGTATTTAATTTTTTCATTTCATATATGAAACATACTTGCTTTAACTGCCTTTTTATGTGTTTTAAAACTAGGTGAATTTTCTTTTTCAGGTAAGCTTCTGGGTCGTTAGAGAGATTCTTCATGCACAAACTTTAAAAATAAGAGCTGAAGTTTTGAGCCACTATATTAAAACTGCTAAGGTAAGACTTTATTTGTTTTGGGACTTGATATGCTGTAACTTTTATATGCGAGTTCACCCTTTCAAAAATGCATGTGGATAAATATTTGTTTAACACTCCATTTGGCTGCAGTGGTGTCTGTTAACATGTGGTAGTGTTTGGCCTCATCAGTGTGACAACATCAGCAGAAAGGGTGACAGACCAAAGCTCCAGAACTGGAGTTATATGCCTAAAGAAAAATTTACTTGGTTTAAGAAAATGCTTTCAGATGCTGTATTTCAAATAATTTACTAATTAATTTTTACTAATTTTAATGTTTACTAATTTTATTTTTCTATCAGTATAATTTATTTCCCGTTTTGTTGGATAATCTGAATTAAGCACCTGTCGCTATTTGCAGGCTCTGAATATTTTACTTTGCTCTGGCTGCTGTTCTTTAAAATACATTGTTTATTTTTGCTGCTTGGAAGGAAAGGGCCTGAGACCTCTTTTCTTCTAGTAATAATGTTATGGCTAATATCAATCTGTCTGGTATGAAATACTTTCTTTTGGGTGTAATACAATTTCAAAAATATTTTTTTGAGTAAAGGTGTAGTAGATCAAGCAGCCGCTAGCCATGTTTCCCTCATCTCATATTAATGTTGTCTGTTCCAATACATTAGCTAATCATCCATGTACAAATCCTGTTGTTACTTGTGTGAATACTCTTCCATTGTGCAACCTCTGCATGGGGCTGAGTTCCCTGCGAAGCTCTAGACAGCTCCCTACAAAGTACTATGAAATGTTTTGAGGGCAAGATAGAAGATCTCCTATTCTCTTCCCTGTCTCTCTGCTTCATGGTTTCTTATAGCACCTATCACTATAATATCTAGGTGATGGAAGCTATCCCAAGCATTAGGTTCCCACATTTTCCCCCATAGATCTTAGCATCCATCTGGAAAAAAATCAGAGGGGGGGGACACAGGGTTTTAGAATTCTACTTGTTTAGAATTCAAACCCTTGTATGTCTCTTAACAGTGTTACTGGGGTTGAAGTGATGTAGGTTTTTTGTCAGTTAAAACTTGTCAGAGTTGTGTGCAAGTGGGTTTGGGCATGCCTTTTCTATTCAGGTCCTTATATAGTCTTCATCACTATTTAATGCCTTAAATTTTGCCCTGAAAAATAAGATTAGGAGAAAGAAAAGGGATAAAACCTCTAGGATCTATTTTAACTGAAATTTTATTAAAAAGTAGTAACATTAAAAAGATTTTGTTCTGTTCCTGACTGCACTCTTTAACAGAAATATATGGCTAGAATCACTCCCCTGTTTACATCTGGAGAAACTGTCATAGAACTAGGCAAAGGTCCTCAAAGGTCAACCAGGAGTTGGGGAGGTTATGGCAGGAGATCAGTAATAGTACAGAAGTTTGGAATGGCTGATTGAAAAAAGGACCTGGTCAGGGGATGTTAGGTGTGCACACATTCAGCACCAACTTGAAGCTGATTTGGCTCCAGTACTCCTATATCTTTCCCATTGGGTAATTAAAGCTTCTCTTTTCTGATGGAAATCCCTAAGGGAGGGGCAATGGTGGAAACTCCACCTGACCTTCCTGTAAGTGAATTTGCTTGGGTGGATGGTAAAAGGGACCTCATTAGCTAGGAGGGATTCAATTTATACCCTGTTCTGTCTTCAGAAAATCTTGCCCAGTTAACACTTGTAAATACCATAACTGAACTGCCACTTATTTTCAATTCGTTGTTGTATTACAGCCACTGACACACAGCCTGAAATACTGTATGCAATATTCTGCCAAGATCTCCCTCTCTGAAATGTCTGCAGTTTTGAGATAATTGTGGAAGCCCACTACATTTTATCATTCGCTTTAGCCATGGAATTGAGATTTGTGTTTAATAGTAAAACGCACAAAATTTACTGAAAATAGTTCTTGAGTCTTTAATCTGTTATAACACATTAACCCTGAGCTAAATGTTAGCTTCAGGAAGCGTGCTTATTCTAAAGCACCTTCTATTACCAGGCATGTAATGCACCTTTGTCAGCTTTGTGGAAAGTACTTACTGGTACTTTTACCTGCCTGCCAATATTCATAACTCCAGCATTTTTATTAGCACGCAATTCCCTGTTGTTGGTTGTGAAGTGACTCAAATTATATTCTAATCCCTGGAAAACTCTGCAGATTTCTCCACTCAAATCAGGAAGAATCTTGTGTTGTTGATACTTAGTGTGTCACCCTCATTGCAAGGAAATATAACTAAATTCTAACCATCACACTTATTCACCTCATACAATATAGTTTGATTTCTGATACATTAAAGGAAACATCAAAACACAGATTCTGCTAATATGTTCTCCATCCTGTACTTTCATAACACAGGAATTCTACTTAGTGTCTGACTACATCACTGGAACTAGAATGTGGTTTCTGAACTTGTGAACACAAGACGCTTTTGTATTTCCTAACTTTTCTTCTGTTTAGACCCAAATTCATTTCTGTTCTTTGTACATTTGGTATTATCTTTTATTGTAAATTGTTTTCGTCACAAGTTTAATGAAACGGAGGTTATAGAAAATATATGATAACACTAATCCCACATTATCTAAACTGTTCTATTTTTCAAAAGTTGTCCATTTTGCACTTGCAGAGTTTGAGACACATGGAAGTTCTTTCAGAGATGTTGAGAAAATTTACACACATCGTTTGGTCAATAATAGTTTTTTTTGTCTACACAGATTCCCACTCTTGGGGTTATTCTTGCCTTTTAAAATGCAAGCCTGAAGCACTTCAACTGTCTGTTCAAGTCAGTTCATGAGTTTAAGGAGTCAAATGTTTTCAAGTGAGGCTATATCAGATACATACACCAGAAACAATCATTTTAAGGTTTAGTTTTGCATCTTATCAGTTTAAACTGAGGTCCTCTCAACATCCTCCTTACTTCAGGCATGCAGAAAAGCCAACACTAGAGAGAGAAACATACTCCATCTGTAGCTGCTGAGTCTGTGGCCCTATTGGCATCAAATCAGCAATTTTGATGGGATGCCTGGGAGCCTTAGTTTCTGTAGAAAATACAGAAAATACCCTCCACCCTGGTTCCCATTTGAGGACTGTTTCTCTTAATGTTCTGTGACATGAAGTGGAAAATACATTAGACCAGTGAGTACTAATAATAATCCAGAAACGATTTTCAATCCTATTCCGCTCCATCATTGTTGTTCATTATTTACATTACCGTAGCAGTACTCATGCACCAGTACCCTATTGTGCTAGGGACTACAGAAACAGACTGAAAAGAGAGTCCCTGCCTCTAAAGTGTTTATAATCTAAGTCGAAGACAGTAACAACAGATGGATACATATAGATGGAGGAGTGGAAGGAAACAGTGAGACAGTATTCGTCCGCATGAAGGCAGTGGCCTAACCATTGTCAAGCTTTTTTGTTGGCATCATAACAAAGGAGAGTTTTCTTTAAGAGGGATTTGAAGGAGGAAAATGAGGTAGCTTTGCAGATGGTTTATGGGGAGCTCCTCCCAAGCATGAGGGGTAGCATGGGAGAAAGCACAATGATGCTAATTTGAAAATCTAACAAGTGGGTGACGGACACTGACATAGTTGCCTGGTCAGAGGAAGGGGCTGACACTTCAACAGTGAATGGGAGATGGTACGTAGGGTGGAGAGGGCCTTAGAAGTGAGAACAAGCAGTTCATATTTAATGTGATCGAGAAGGTGGAGCCTGTGGAGGGATGCAAAGAGAGAGTTACCATGATCAAAGCAGTGGGCAAGGAGAATGATCTTTGCAGCAAGATTCTGAATGGATATGAGGGAGGCAAAATTACATTTATCAGGGCCAGAGAAAGATATTGTAGTAATCAAGATGAGAACCAGGACAAGAAATTTTGCTGTGTGGATTGACTAGGATAGGCTGTATCTTAGAGATGTCTTGCAGAAAGAATGTAGAAAATATAGATATATCTTGATGTGAGGACATAGAGACATCAGAGTCAAAGATGACACCCATGTTACAGGCCTGAGTGACAGGCAGAATGGTGGTGGTGTCCACAGTGATCAAGAAAAGAGGTAGGGGAGAGGACTTGTGGGCAGAAAGATTAAGAGCGCCATTTGACTTATGTAGAGCTTGACTGACAGGCAGACCTCCATGAGGAAATAGCAGAACGTGATGCCAAGATTTTAGCTTGGGTAGAAGGAGACAGGTCTGTAGTAAAGAGCACTCCATGTTGCCTGCCTTTTCCTAATGCCTTTTCAGTGATCTTGTTCACAAGAAAGCTATTGTGATCCTAGGATGTGTAAACAGAGGAATTTTGAGTAGGGGTAGAGAGGTTTGGAGCTCTATATTTGGCACTGGTGCGACTGCTGCTGGAAAACTATGTCCAGTTTTGGTGCCCATAATTCAAGAAAGATGTTGATAAATTGTAAAGGGTTCAGAGAAGAGCGCCGAGAATGATTAAAGGATTAGAAAACATGCCTTTATAGCAGGGGTGGGCAACCTATGGCACACGTGCCAAAGGTGGCACGCGAGCTGATTTTCAGTGGCACTCACACTGCCCGGGTCCTGGCCACCGGTCTGGGGGGGCTCTGCATTTTAATTTGATTTTAAATGAAGCTTCTTAAACATTTTACAAACCTTATTTACTTTACATACAAAAATAGTTTAGTTATATATTATAGACTTATAGAAAGAGACCTTCTAAAAACGTTACAATGTATAAATTAGAGTGAATAAATGAAGACTCGGCACACCACTTCTCAAAGGTTGCCGACCCCTGCTTTATAGTGATATAGACCCAAAGAGCTCAAACTATTTAGCTTAACAAAGAGAAGATTAAGGAGTGACTTGATTACAGTCCGTAAGTATCTAAATGGGAAACAAATATTTAATAATGGACTCTTCTGTCCAGCAGAGAAAAGTATAACAGGGTTCAATGGCTGGAAATAAAAGCTAGACAAATTCAGACTGGAAATAAGGTGTACATTTTTAACAGTGATGTTAATTAACCACTGGAATAATTTA